GAAATCATAAAATTGAATTGTTGAAAAAAAAAAGTGTAGTATTTGTTAATAGTCTTCAAGTGACAGTTGGCAAAATCTGGTAAAATATGACTATTTTTAGTCGGTCTATTTACTTATTTTTATGATGAATGATGATTTTTCAAATTATATACATATTTCAAGTCACATGTTTAGTCACATATATACCTATATCATCAAGATTGTGTCAAACTATAAGAGGACATCAATAGTGTTTATCGATGGAGTGTGAAAATGATCTTTCGTTCAATATATCCAAATGTTCTGTCCTGTCTTGTACCCGAAAACTGAATAAGACACTATACAATTACTTAATGAATGGTATTGAATTATTCAGGGTAGAAAAAGTGCTCATTTCAGTGATATTAAAGTGATTACTACACTTTATAATAGTTTGGTCAGACCTAAACTTGAATATGGGGCTGTAGTATGGCATCTTTCCTATATTGTTCATAAAAATAGATTAGAAAAAATTCAAATCAGATTTCTGAGATTTTTATATTACAAGAAATATAAAGTATACCAGGATTATAATACAATTAGAACAGTCGCACTACGAAATGAATTTAAAATACCCAGTCTAGAAAATAGAAGACAGGCAAGTATAGTGTTAATGTGTTATAAAATATATTGAAGGTATACCTGTTACGGGTAGTGACTCGCCCTTTTAGTGTAATCTTTGATGTGAATTCCAATATGCGTGATATCATCATGCATTTCTACCTCCAAAATTCATTGTGAAGTAGACATATTTCGAGAAACTATCATTATGAGCATTATTCATCTGGTCAACTGTAAAATCGAAAGAATCGGATTTAAATCTAAAGCTAACTTCTGCCACATTACTATTGTAATTTCATAAACTACACCTCACGATTTGATGTCCATAAACTTTATTTGAAAAATATATCACATGTTTCACTTACACAGTAACTTCATCAACAGTGATTTTAACTCTTTGGCCTATTTTTTGTATCATTATTGTTTCATTCTGACTATTTTGCAACAATTTTATTTTTGTTAATTTTGTATTACATTTTATTTTTATGTAGAGATTTGGTCAAAAATAATTCGTTCTTATGACGATAAAGCATACTCGGATTCTGCCTCTAATTACTGCATTAGCAAGGATGTCAAAAATATTCCAGTAAAACAATGTGTGCTATCATTATTAATTACAAATCATATTATATTTTGTACCATGATAAATAATTATTTCCGATTTTGTCCCTATTTGACCAGTCTACTTTTCTTATCAAACTTTAATTTTTGCTTGTTTACATACCTGACAGAATTTGTTGACAAAACATATCTAGCCTTTTTGAAAGAGAATGAAATATTTTACTCCTTTGTGAATGATTTTTTTTCTGAAATAAATTTATCAAAAACATTTTTAGTTGGAAATTATAAACAAAGAATATAATCTCCTGTTGTCCAAACAACTCCAAGAAGAAAATGCTAAACTAATAGCAGCTGTAGAGGAAGCTAAAAAGAAATTGGTTCACTTGGAAGTTCAAAATGGAGTCAAACAAATACCACTTCCGAATCAAAAGAATACTTTACTGACGAGTTCTATTGAAAACCCTATAGAAACACCGACTCCTACCATCCCAGAGCCGGTAACAAAACCTAAGAAAGAAAAAAAAGAAAAAAAATCAAATGAATCGAAACAGGCTCCTGTCGAATTGCCTGTTGATGTTGGAAGGTTAGATTTGAGGGTTGGTAAAGTAGAAGAAGTTCAGAGACATCCAGATGCAGACACACTGTATGTCTTGAAAATAAATTGTGGTGAAGAGAAGCCAAGAACAGTATGTTCCGGTCTTGTCAAGCATATTCCATTGGAAGAACTGAACAACAGAATTGTAGTTCTATTATGTAATTTGAAACCCGTCAAGGTGAGTTCAATTCCATTCTATAAATCCTTTTATATTGTTCTCTTACATTCTATTATTAAAACACATATTACCTTATATTCAGTGGAAAGTAAATAAAAGATAATTAATATTACTGGTAACGATTGGACCAATTTTAGTTGAAAACTTCACTGTGCTTCATCAATAAATATCAACCTATTAAAGATGTTGAAAATACTGTAAACTAACCACTAATGTGATTTTCAGAAGTCAACATTGGTTCAATTCCATAGTATCATCAACACAATCAAAATTCAATATTTACAATATTTTTTTCGCTCTTAAACCCTTTTATGCTATTTTTTCAACACATTTTCTAATTGGGAATATTTAACATTAGTCATTTAGGAGTGATTTAAACATAGTCAATGATTATATTACAAACTGTCCCATTGCTAAAACTTCTAGGAATATCAATTGACAACAAATTAAAATTTGATAATAATATCAGCAGTAAGAATCCCATCTTTTATAGAATCCCAATTGGTACATCATTTAACAAAATAGCATTTTTTATTTTATCTTCCAATATATTGTTAGCAACAAAATAGTTTTTCAAACTCTTCTTGAAAACTGACCAGTCCGTTTGAACAGGTTCAAATTCACAGAGGTGTCCAATGTATTCCGTAAACATCTTGAAAATTCATTTCAAAGAAGGTTGACTTTCAAACTGAGTTATCTTGAACTGTTTAAAAGCCCTCGTCGCAACTCGTGGTTTTTTCTACTTTTTACTGAGTTGTCTTTTTGCTTCATCTTTCTACGAAAAATGTAGGAAACTTCCAAAGGAGGAAAAAAAGCAATTGATTTCAAAATAAACTGTTTTCAAAAATGTGTAGATTATGCATAGAAGCTACTTTCAGACACAAACTGGAAGAAAAAGTCCTCTCAAAACAACTGCTTTCACGAAAGAGAAGTACTTTCAAAACGACACTTTTTTTATGAACATTGAATAATACAAAAAACACTTTTTCCTACTCAGTTTATACTCAAAACAATCTTGCTACACGATATAGTAGATGAAAGAGATGAAATTCACTTACATGGAACACTGTCATCCTCAATGGTGGACATTGATATTTCGGAATAAAACACTTGTCGAATTGCCTTTCCGGCACCAATCTGGATAACATTACAAGATGAAGCACTCAATTCTTTCGTAACATTACAAAGTTTCCCATATTTTTTGTATAAAGAACGCATTACACATTATGTTACTTGTGATAAACTTCAAGTTTTCTGATTTTAGAGACAGGGTAAATATAGTGACAGGGTATAGTGAATATTGAACAATCGAAGGTTTTCTTAAACGAGTTTCTGTATGTAAGCCAGCGAGGCACCGTATGTTTTTTTGTTGTGAACACTGTTGTTATATGTGCTGAGCCACCAAAATGCCAGACCATATGACAGTCTGGACTGTACTAGTCTAAAGTAGGTTAGTTTATTTACTTACATACATAGATACTGTTCCTTGCAACTCATTTATCACAGAATAAAAGGTACCCAGTTTTGTGATTGATTTGTCCAAGTGAGTTTCCCAGGTTAATTTTGGTCGACTGTTAGACCCAGGTTACCTTAACTCTTTCAGGGGCAGAATTTGTCTCTCATAAATTGATCTACAGGGGCAAGGAGGTAAAAAATTCTGAACAAGCAAATTTTTCATCAAACTTATATTTGAAAATATGCATAGAGATTGAATATTAACTCCATTTCACAAGAAAAATTATATTTGAGGAAAACATTTGGTGGTTCATTTTATGTACCATCGCCCCGAACTAAGCACTGTGATAATTTTCGAAGCATGTTTTGTTTTTTCCCAAACACAGTGGAACTTGGCATCTTGAGCACATCCAGTTANTGGCATCTTAAGTCATTGAAACAGTTATGAACTGTGTAATTATGACTTCATTGCCAGAAGACTTGAGAAGTTTGAACATGTCACATACTGAATGAAAGTCATTTGATGGAGTTCTATGATATCCAAGGTTTTTTATTAGAACTTTCATTGCCAATCGTTTTCTTTAATGGAAAAAGTATTATTATAATGAAATTGAAACATGCATTATAAATTTCAGATACATCATTTGATATGAATTTGTCCTCTACTGAGCTGAAATATTTTCATTTTTAGTATAAATGTTTTCTATGGCAGGACAAACGATAAGTTTTCATGCCTTAACGATACTTTGTTTTTTTAACCTGCTTTTTACAAAATAATCAATTGTTGAAACTATGGTTTTGTATATCAAAAGAATAGATTGTGCGAAAGCTGTTGTTAAAAATCTATCAGAGGTGTTCATTATGCCTTTAGAAAAGAAGAAAAGCTGGTTCAGAGAAATCACCATTAGAATAAATAGATAATCGTCTGCAGAGTATGATGACACTGCAACCAGAAATGGAACACAGTTATCTTCATGATGAATACAGATGTTTGTTTGGGGATGCATGATGGTCGGGCAAGGTGAGAAGTGGACGGACTGAAAGATGAGATACTCAGTTTTCTGTGAAAGAACATATGCACCACACTGAGATAGAGTGGTGGGCGACTGTTCATAGAAGTCGGCCCCCTTTGCTTTTCATAACAGGTAATATGGCCGCCCAGCGTTACGTGCAGAAAGAAGCGACACCTCATGTTCTAACTCCGCAATCCGTTTTTCCAAGAAGATAATGCCCAGCAACGTGAAGTGAGAGTTACCTTGCACTACTTCCAATAAAACCAAGTCAATTTGTTGCCTTGGCCACTTCAAATCTCTGGATCACTCACTTATTGAGCATATCTGGGATATGAGGAGGAAATTAGTGAGTTCAGTCCATTCTTAGACTTTGGAAGGATTTTATGGTACATATATCTTGGGATCCCTCAGAAGAAAATTGGTAACCTCATTGACAATATGCCTATTTGCTTATCTTACCATAGAAAATGTGTATACCAAAAAGTAATAAAATATTTCAGCTATTAGTGGGCTTTTTCATTTTAATGTCGCATAATATTTGAGTTGATTGTATATTAGGATTTATATTTGAATATTGTCTATTATTAATTATTTTGGAACTTAGTTTATATTCAAGTGTGTAGGTATGAGTATATATTTTTTAGATGCGTGGAATAACTTCGGAAGCTATGGTCATGTGTGCTAGTAGTGAAGCCGGAGTTGAAGTGCTTTCTCCACCTGCTGACAGCGAACCAGGGGACTTAGTACATTGTGAAGGTTATACAAGAAATCCAGATCCTGTTATGAATCCCAAAAAGAAAATATTCGAAACTGTTGCTCCTGATTTACATACCAATGACCAGTTGCAAGCTTGCTACAAAAACATACCTTGGACTGTTTTGGATAAAGGATTTTGTGTTGCCAAGTCATTAATAAATGTACCCGTCAAGTGATTTGATTGTACATATTTATTGAAATAAAAAAAAATACTTCTTTATCATCCACACTACAATAAAACATTGGCAGTTTAACATTTGAAAAATGTATTGATTTTCTTTCAACAAAAATTCATAATCTTTAAGAAATCCTAAAGCTATGTGAACTGACTACCCTAAAATGTGTATTTTAATATATACAATTCAAAATTTTCAGTTGATAGTCTGCTGGAGAATTTTTTGACAGTATTTACACACCTGAAGAGGAAAGAAAGCATTAGTAATGTATGTCCAAAATCACATTGACTTGCATTGATGGACAATAATATATCAGAAAGTTACTCGAATTGATTATGCAAAATAGGATATCTAGAAAAGCTTATGCAAAAACAACAACTTTTCAAGTTGGGACAAAAATAATAGTTTCCCCCTTTTCAGAATCAAAAATAATAGCTAGAGATATTGAAAGGTAGAACTGGAACCTTTGGCCTGAAATGAAAACTACACCATAGCTGGAACATTTTTCTTGGCGCACATTCATCAAATAAGTTGGTGCCATCAAGAGATAAACTATTCTCAAAGAAATTAACATCGAGAAAAGTTGGTTGAGGCTTTCATGCCCGAGGTTTTCAGTGTCTTTATATTTTGGGTTTTGAAAAAAACATGAAACTGCATTTTCTTAAGGATATGCATATTGTTCAAATAATATAAATAATTCTGTCCCCGCTTCATGAGGTTTCTGATTTCAAATTATGCAAACAGTTTCTTTGAGAAATCATCAAAATTTGGAACTGTTTCTGAGGATTTCCGAGTATTCTTTGACATGACTGTTAGTGAATACTACTGGAGTTTTATCCTGACACCAAACCGTTTTTTTTAACACCTCGACACGTGTTTCGATCACCAAGTGATCGATAAACTCCAGTAAATTTCTTTACTACACCAAAGGTTGCAAACAGTGCATCACAATGACTGTTAGTGTTGATATCAAGTTCATAAGAGTCAAATTTCCACATCAAAACATTAAACTCGAGGAATATTATAATTTTTGTTATGATGAATACATTTGGATACCTTTGATATTCAAAAACACTTTTTTTTGTCACATAATAGGCTGCATTACTTTTCTGACTTTTTGTAACGAGAAAATTGGGACCCCAGAAAAAGATAAATAAATTTGGGACTTTCATCATTGCTAATCAAGAGTTGTACTATATTTGTACATGTTTTTAAATTTAGAAGTGGCCTTGAATATTGACGACTATCAATGTTTAAAATTTTGAACCATGTTTAACCATTGAGAATTTTCTTCACACAATTAAATCAGTCGCCAAGCTACTTGGAAATATCCCATTTTAGAGAATTTTAGTATTCACAATATTCCTGGTGAAATTAGTTCTACCAATGCAAATCAAATATTATAATCAACTGAATGGATCAAATTCACTTCTATTTTTTATGACCAATAAAATATCCAACAAACAATAAATCATTAGTGTATTGCAATAAAGTGTCATTGTTATTTCTTTTCCATACATACAAATCAATTCAGAGTTTTTAAAGAATAGCGAGAACATTTGGTTGGAACTGAAACCCTGATCAAGATTAAAAAAAAAAAACAGATGTGACTTTCAACCATACAGTTTTCCAATCAAAAAATGTGCAGTAACAGACATGAGACAATTTGAATGTGTCTCATATTGAGTTTAGTAAGTAAAATAACTAGAAAACTGAAAAAGTCAAGAAATTACAATAATAACTAAAATAAATTGATTGATGACAAATTATACTAACACTTAAAGAGTCTGTTATTGAAAACATCTAGAATCAATGTAAGTAATCAAAAATATTAAAAAAGAATTAAAAATTCTACGTTTTTATACCACTTTTATAAAAAGTGCTGGGTGTGACATATCTGATACACGTATAGTTATAAAACATTGATTATTTTCAAAAGAATTATTGATAACGAATAAATGTGAAAAAACATACTGTTATGAGCTGTAATTAGGTTAATTAGAATGCACTTGCTTGTTGAGAAGTCAGTGATAAATTTATTTAAACAATTTAGCAAACTTTGGCTGAACAACCAATATACGACTAATTACTGCGAGACAAATTTAAAGAAGAGGAGAAACAGAGGAATTGTTGTGAGCCTTTCAGTTATGATACATATTGTGGGGCAATTGGTAGTTCGGAACAGATTTAGTTCAATAAATGTCGTGAGAGCGCTAGCAAGCGATAAGAGAAATAATTGAAAAGTTAAATTGGAGTATATTAGATTCAAGTTGTATTTTGAAAAACTGAAACAAAATGTTGATTTATTGAATGTACCATTTAATAAAGAACCTACAGAGATGAAATGGAAAACAATACTTGAAACAAGTATACCACACCCAATTCATAAATATATATTTACAACTGTATCAATCAAACCTTCATTAGTGCTCTTACAATACAGTTGAGTTTGATAAATAGTACTTAATGCTAATTAATATTGAAATTTAATTACAATTGGAAGACCTTGCAGAAGTATGAGTGAGTCATCGAAAGGCTAATTAATTTAGCATATCCCCTACTACTAGCCTCAATCCTCAAAAGAATGTGATGGATCACCACTTCAGAAATTCTATCCACCCAGCCACATAGCATATATGTGGTAGAGCCTATGATTAGTCAATCTGGTGGAGAGAAAATGTTTGAAGAACGTCAACAGGCTTTTTTTTTGTGTTTTTTAAAGACAAACAAAACACAAGCACTACAGGAAAATCCTTAAGGCCCTCTAAGAGTGGTGCCTGTGCAAAAGTAGTGCTTCACATTGGGTTTGAATCGCTGGAGATTAAATCTATTTGGAAAATCGTTCTCAGGAAGTTTATTTCACGTAAACGCAGTTCTCCAAATGAAAGAGTTTTTCAACAGTGCTGTTCGAGGTGTACCGAGTTGAACCTCAAAACGATGAGCAGCCATAGTCCGTCACGTATTTCTGATAGTTACCGTCACTTGAACACTTGCCGTGAAAGTATCTATATAAGAGAGACAAATCTCTAACCTTTCCTCGATGTTCCAGACTATAAAGATTGCAGGTGATGTTCGCGTCTCTAATCTCATCTTCGTTATGGAATCTGCTTCTGGGGCGCTTGTGCTCAGTATTTATTTCAAAGAGTTTTTTCTTTCCAAAAAAGGGCAATTAGATACCTATGTAGTTCTGATTACCGTGAATCCTGTCGTCCCTTGTTTATGCAACATGGAGTTCTGACATTGGTTTGTATCTACATTTTGGAAATGGCTTGCCTCATGCACAAGAAATACCAAGCTATAATTACTTCTGAGTCAACCTATAACACTCGCTCCTCTCACTTGATCTCGCTTCCAATTCCCTCTTCAACCTTAATTTGCAACTCTCTAATTTTCAATCACCTTCCCCTAACCTTGCGTGTCATCAAAAGCGAGGTCAAGTTCAGAAAATCTGTAAAAACGCTCATAGTTGGGAGGACCTACTATACCCTGGAAGAATACTTTCAGGATTCTTTTTGCTGAGATCTCTAGCTTTGGCGGCGGTCATATAACGTATGCCTAATTCTTTATATATTTAGAGGTAGTCCTTGTAATTCAATGTACAAAATGTTTGTTTTTCCGGCATGTTACTTTATTCATTTAATTGTCACATCGTAGTTTTGTTGTTCAATGTTATTTGGCTTAGTGGTGTAAATCTTGTTGCTTTTGTATATGTAATTATGTTCGCTTATTGTAAGTGTGAATTTATGTGTATTTATGATCTCCTTGCTAACTGTATATTTGTGATGTTATCATGGTGACTGTATGCTTTGTCATGAGAATTGTTATTCTTGGACAATAAAGTATATTTTGATTTGATTTGATAATCAGCCAGATGGCTCATTTCTGGATGGAATCCAGCAGCTACAGAGTATGCTTAGGGGCGGAGCTCCATACATGAGAACAATACTCCAAAGAAGGTCTGATCTGAGCTTTATAAAGCATTAAAAGTTGCTGAGGTGTGTACAGTTTTCTGGTTCGGAACAGTGTTCCAAGCTTTTGAGAAGCAGCCTTTGCAATTCCAGTGACATGATTGTGCCAAGACATATTGGTGTCCATTTTAATCCCCAACAAACTTATCGAAGCAGAAAGTTGAATTGTCTGACATACATTACTATATCTGACCTACATTATAATATATGTTTCGGAGCCATCTTTTTGGAGAAAACCGATGCCTAGGTTTTTGTGGCATTGAATTGAACCTGGTTATTTTCGCTCTAATTCGAAGTTACTTTTAGATCATCATTTACATATGCAACCTCCTGCTGCTGGTGAAGAAGTGCATCCGCCGCCGTTGTCCTGGAATCCAAATGTTATGACGAAACAAGTGTGCTGTCATCAGCAAAGCATTATATTGGATTCTTGATTTTTTCCAATAAGTCGTTGATATACAATAAAAAGTGAGTTGGAGATAATACGGATCTCTAGGGAACACCAGCGCTGATGGTGAAAGTACTTGAGAGATATTCATTGACGGCCACATGCAGGGAACGTTCCTTCAGGAAGCTGAAGAGCCATACACAAAACCGATACGACAAGCCATAGCATTGAAGTTTGGCCAGCAAACCCTCATGCCACACACAGTCGAAACCTCAGAAATATCAAGCTCAACAGCTCTTGATTCTCCATGTTTCTCGATTGCGTTATTCCAAATATGATATTGATGATTGTTAGATGTTGAAGCCTTCCAAATATTCAAGAAAATAGCTGTCTCCGTGAGTTTTGATATAATTGATAGCAAAGCGACTACTGGTCTATAGTTATTTGGAAGATTATAACGTGAGCAGAGAGAGAAGAGAGAACGTGAGCAATCTTCCAACAAGAAGGAAAAACCCCTTGCTTGTAAGACAGGTTGAAAAGTCTGCAAAATACTGGTGCGAGTTCATTTGTGCACTTTTTAAATACGAATATGGACACTTCATCAGGACCAAACGCCTTGCTGATATTGAGCTGTTTCAGAATCAGCCTGACTAGACATTATCGAAAAGTAGTTTCCGGCATTGTGGATTCTAGTGTGGGAATAGTGAGTGATACATTTCCCAGAAAATAGACTGTGGGGTGAGATGCAAATTGTTCAGCTAGTAGATTTGCTTTTTCTATAGCTGTTGTTGCAATTGAACTATCCGCTTGAGTTAGTGGTGTGTTTGTGGATTTTGTAAAGTACTGATTAACAGCTTCGGCTACCGACCAGAATGATGTATACCCGTTGGGATTGGCAAGCAGTTTATCCCTAATTCTCTGATTGTGAAGTTCTTTGCTTTCATTTATCCTAAGTTTGCAGCTGAAACAAACATCTAGCTAGGGGAAATTTCGGAAGAGATAAGAGACTGTGACATGTTATTATTTGATTTAATTCTTGAATATTTTAACGAGTTTGTGCTCCCGAATGAATAAGTGAAAGAATAAATCATGTCAGTGATTCGCATGATAAGTTGATAGTTCAATGAAAGCCATTTGATTGGTTATTACAAAAGAATTATAATTTTTAGTGGGTTTTGAAGTCAATACAACAAAAGAAGAATCTAAGAACAATTAATTCTGCTTCATTTTTATCCCTTCAAGAAAAATTGATCTGATATCAATAAAACATTATCTTTGCCAGCTATCTGCACATTTTTTTGTCTAATATGAAAAATCAAAATATACAACCTTTTTCAGTTCAGGATTGTTCAATGTCTGTGAGACCTCTTACCCCTGCCGCTACTGATTGACCTCGACCGCCTTCCCCTTTTCCTCCTTCTCCTATCTGATCTACTACTTGAAGGTGATCTTCTGGAATATCTACTTCTTGAAGAAGACCTCGATTTCCTAGATCTACCTCTAGATCGTGATCGTCGGGACCTCTTGTATGAAGAAGACCGCGATCTTCGAGATCGCGAATATGATCTGGATCTAGAGCGCTTAGATGATTTTTTTCTGGAACTTGTAGATTCTCTCCTTAAACTATTCGAGTCTCTTTTCGAGTCACTTTTTTTAGGGGGTGATTTCGATCTTGACCAACTTGATATAGTTCGGTGTCGCTTTTCAGAGCTCATAGATCTACTGCGGTGATTTCTTTTGGGCTTTTTGTAAGACTCTTTGGATTCTGATGATGAGGACCTACGACTATTTTTGGACCTATTGTTTGAAAAGTCACTGGCTTCAGAAGAATTTGAAGGGGATCTTTTTGTTTTGGGAGGCTGCTGAGACACTTTGTCCTCTTGATTGTACTTGTGATCTGTAACTGAAAGAAGAGTTTTCAATACTTTGATGTACCATATGTATCAACAAATAACTGTTCACCTATCATTACAATGATCAAAATAACAAACAACTTCCTGTTAATGTCAAATATCAACTTTGTTCTCCCTCCCAAATAAGTTTATAGTGGTGTAAAAAAATACTTTTCAAGTTTAGAATAACTATGTTTTTTCCTTCCATTCTGCTTTATGTAGTAACTACTCGTAAATACAATGTAACTGTATTCACATTTTCATAAGAATAATTATTTTTATGTAATGAAGTTTTTACCTGTTTGAAAATGAATAAATAAATAAATCACCAGAACGCTTAAACCAGGTGGGATGAAGAGATGAAAATTCTTTTTTTTTATGAATTCGAACCATACTTGAAGAAAATCCATGTGATAAACATTGATGAATGAATATTTCATTCAATAGGAATCCTAAATCATAAACAAATAGATGCAGGGGCGTATGCTGTAAATAGTTGTTTCAATCTGTTTTCATCTTACAAAAACGTATGGTATGCATGGAATTTTAATGGTGACTTCATTGTTTGTTTTTGAATTAGCATGCCTTATACACAGGAACAAAAGTATCTTTACTTCTCAGCCTCACCACAATTCTAGACAGGCTGGCCAATTGAAAAATTCCTATCCCAACAAGTAGTCAAATCAAGAACTCAATTATATATAATGAAGTGAAAATGTATGAGTGTACAAATGTACTATACATTACGTGAATTTTTTGAGGCTAACTTCGACACATAATCTTTATATAAGTATATTCTTCTGTCTCTTTGTAGTGTTTTTTATGCATGTTATTTATGTACTCAATTCTATTTTTACCCATGTAAAAGCTTACTTTTAACAAACATCCTGTTTGAGTATGTGCTCATGTGTGTACATGTATATATGTTCTCAATAATTTAATAATATTATATAGTTATACACTACATTTTAGAAGAAAACTATTTGTTGACAACATATATTTCTTATGACATTAAATGTATATCTCTCTAGGTACACATGTAATTAATATGTAACTATGAGTTATACATTCAATTTTCGGGTTTTCCTGCAGCTGAAAAAGCAAATGCGCCACTGGAATCAATGAAGTCGCCCCAAAGCGCCAATTAATTTTTATTGTTGTTTTTATCTTTATTGTTTTATAATTTCACCTAAAATACTTATACAAAAGTGGCTTAAAATGTATTAGTATCATGAATATAACCAGAGAACTCTTTTTTTAAATTGAAACATATTTTCAATGTCCTTCAGAATTTGTGGAGGTTTATTTTATTAGTTGAAACCCATTCTTCTTAAAGTTAGACAGATTAAATTTTGGCAGGGGATAATAATCATTTTGTCTGGTCATGTAATTATGTGTAGAATGCCTTTATACAATAAATTGCTTAAAGTAGGATGGTAGCAGGTCATTGATTATTTTGAAAATGAAAATCATCACTGATCTGTAATATCTTTTTCGAATAGATAGCCATTGCACTACACTAAGCATATAATATATGCTTATATAATGGTTGCATCGAAGAATCACCATCATACCTCTGTTCTGTAGTCATTAGTTCGTTTCAATGAAAACTGTACAGAGTGTAATGCAGTAATCAACGAGGGGCTGTGTATTATGGTATTATACAGGGTCCTGCAACAGTGGCGCGGTGTTCCATATCTCTATATAGGAAGCAGATAGGAATCTAATTTTCTATAATATTACCTTATTGCTCGAGCTCGACAAAATAAAAATATTGGCGGTCACACAGGGTGTTCGATTTTTTCTTTGGTTCGAATAAAAGCTAGACTCGTTCTCTCTGACTGTGCTAAAAGTACCGACAATAACATCGACGAATGCGGTGAACTTGAAGGAGGATCTAGCAAGGTGTGCGATTTCAAAATTTGGAACCAGCCCTGGAAAACGAATGGTCGACAGACGAAAATCATCTGCGAGGGTGATGACAAAACTTATTCTTTTAGGGTTCGACGTTCCCTCGGTAAGTTTTAGTTTGTTTGATTTGTTTGAATAATATTGATTTTTTTTTCTTTTCAACGCATTGACAACATCGTTTCTCAGTTTCTTGAATGTTTCCCAGTAATTTTGTTTTTCTTAATCTGTATGTCCTATCACGATTCTTAATTTTACTGTAAACTTTGTTATCAAACCGTGGCAAATGACTGTTGATACTACAATTTTGTATTGGAGAAATATCAATNATATAACGAACATTAGATGAATGGAATTATACAAATTACAGCTACAGGTAACAAAGACATAATACATATCATATTTGTTCATTTAAAACAAATTTCTTCAGTTCATTTTTGAACATGTTCAGAGATGGGCTATTTTTAATTGCATTAGGTAATTTGTTGAACCGATCAAAACCCTTGAAAAACAATGAGTTCATAGTATTTTTGTTTTTTGTTCTGTTAATATATAAGTTATTATTATTTCGAGTGAAGTGGTGGTGAATATCGTGATGAAAGACAATATACTGATTAAAATAAGATGGTCCTAAATTGTTCAATATTTTGTATACGAAGATCATTGTGAAGTATAGCAGTCTTTGGGAAATGGATTGCCAATTTAAAACATTGAGCATAATAGTGATAGGAGTATCTCTACGGCACTTCAAAATGATTCTCATACCACGATTCTGAAGTTTTTGAAGTTGAGACAATTTATTCTGATTGAATAGATATAGGATAAAGGAACAGTAGTCAAAGTGTGGTTGAACAATTGACTTGTAAATTGTCATACTTGACTCGGTTGAAAGATTACTAGCAATTTTAGAGAAAAAGAATAACTTTTTTGATTTTTTTTATGAATATACTCAAAATGTTCATCAAATGATAGAGTGTTATCCATCAGGTATCCCAGGTATTTAGTTGAATTCTCTAATTCAATTATTTCATCATCAATGCTGAGGTTAATAATTATTGAGTCTATTTGGCTGTATTTAAATTTGGTGGTGATTATCACTGCTTTTGTTTTCAATACATTCAGCTTTAGTTTATTCATTTTCAAATAATTGCAGACACTTTCTAGAGTATTATTCACTTTTTGTATAGTCAATTCGAGGTTTACATCGCTACATGCCAATAGAGTATCATCGGCAAAAAAGTTCATAAATTCACAATCAACAAACAATGGGATGTCAGTGAAATATAGTATAAATAGAGGTGGACCCAAAACACTACCCTGGGGAACTCCAACATCATTGTCAATTTCGCAAAAGAATATGTGCCCTCTATTCCATATATATTCAATTTAGCTAGTAGTATAGACCTATCAATGGTCTCAAATGGCCAAGGAACACTGCCAGAACAAACTCATCATTATCCAGTTCAGTTTTAAATTTACTTAGAAATAATTGCACTGGTGACTCACACGAGTGCATTTGGTGAAATCCCGATTGATTGTTGATTAAAATGTCGTTTTTTTCAACATATTCAATTAGTTGATTATAGATTGCTGTTTCTAGTTCCTTCCCAATCGGAGGTAAAGTGTTGATTGGTCTGAATTCTTTAGCTTTAATAGTATGAAGAATTTTGGGTATCGGAACAATAGTACTAGTTTTCAATCTTTCAGGCATTTGGCCAGTTTCAAGAGAGGTGTTGATAAGGTGCAATATAACCTGACTGATAGTCTCAAAAACTTGTTTCAATATTTTGGAGTTGAGGATTTCATGTACACTGCACTTATTATCCAAGGAACTTATAATTTTCTGTAGGTTTTTTGAGAGTTTTCCACATTTGTTTAGAGTTGTTTCTATACCGATGCAATTCTTTCAAAATAATATTGATTTTTTTTCTTTTCAACGCATTGACAACATCGTTTCTCAATTTTTTTAATGTTTCCTATTTATTTTGTTTTTCTACATCTGAATAGTTTCTGAAGGCTCTGTATGCCCTATCACAATTCTTAATTTTACAGTGAACTTCGTTATCAAACCATGGCAAATGACTGTTAATACTACAATTTTGTATTAGAGAAATATTATCAATAACTGCTTCACAATTATTCAGTAGTTCTTGATAAATAATTTCTACGTCCGTAGAATTTAATGACCATTCACATAATATTTAAGTTCATTTTTATAAAGTCCGAATAACTTTCACTAATGTTCTTATAATTTTTTTATCGCTTGATTTTCTTTATTATAAATATTTTCTTTTATTGATGGATCTATCGTCATTATTGATGTGTAGCATTTCCGCCACAACTTTATTCCAGACACTCTGTCCACTAAGGCAGAATGAAAACGAATTGGTCATACTACAACTGGAGATATCCAGTTTTACTCCAATTATATGTAATGTGTATTCATCAAGTTCCGAAAGCTGAAATTCTTAAATATATTATTTTTTTCAACTGCAAAACAAAAAACTACAGTTTCTTAGACACTGTTCTTAAGCTACTTTACCTGGAAGTCAAACCAGAAAATATAAAAATTATATAGCTTGTTCTACATAACTAAGCCAATTATAAGTTGAATCAGTATTTTTCATTTATCCAGAATGGACACTTTGATGTTTATAAAAATACTGACCTTGAGATCTCGCGTCTACCTGTGAGTCATTATCGTTCGAGTCCGGACTAGAAGATCTGCTGCTCGGTTTCCGCCTTTCCACTTCATCTAATCTATCTTCTATCTCTCTTTCTGTCTTTTGAAAGTCAGTTATCTTTCGCCTTATTGAATCCTGAAGGATTGAGAAAATGAGTGAAAAAATGACTTATAGTTTTATTCACATGTAATGAAAAATGTTTTTTATAGATCTAATGATTGTCAGAAAATTTGAGTGCTCCACAAAAATACTTATGATGAAAATTATAAACATTTTTTCATAATTTCAATGCCAACCATGATTGCCCAAAACGAAATTCCCATGTCTCATTTCGGATTTGTTTCTTAGAACTGGAGAATGTATCACCCTAACACTTTCAATTTGCAACAAAAAAACCTACTCCTTCAGTCTATATAACTTTCAGCTTGGAAAAAATCTTTTGTTTTTCTACTTCTCCATTAACCGTATGAATATTTTATGGACTTTCATTGTGATAAGAGCAGAATTGCTTCTTTCGAAGACAAAGTCAAAATCTTAATCCAGAAAGGCATGTTTCTGTCTTGAAAGGTACAAAAAATGAGAATTACACCGTTGAGAATGATAATGGTCTATGTAAGTGAAATATAATATCAAAACTCTTTCATATACACGGCGTTCCAACGAAAACTTAACCCCCCACGTAAGTCAGAAACGGACGTGTAATCAAAATATTTTAAAGAACAGGTCAATTTTTATTTCTAGGGGGACTAATTCTGATATGGAAATCATACCCGAAACTTCACCCCTCTACGGTCAGCAACTACCCCCCCCCCTATTTTTTTCAATGGCATGGGGGGGGTCGAGTGATACATCATTTGAAAGGTCTTTTGCCCCTCTATTAATTCTGAATTTTCTTTCGAAATTGGTTCATTTGTTATTGAGAAATTAAATGTTGAACGTTTTATTAAAAAAAAAAAACAGAAAATTCACTGCCGCTCATTTTATTGAGGAGATCAACAGAAGTAATATCAATGGCAACACAATCAATGGATAAAATGTTCAAAATGACCTCCATCTAGTTCCATGCAATAATACACTCTACTTTCGAAAGCGTTCCTTACATTATTGAAGATGTCCGGAGTCAGAAATCGGCATTCCTGAACAATTCTCTGTCGCAGGTCTTTTAGATTTGTAGAATTTATTTAATTAGTAGTGAACGTTTTGAAATGTCGCAGAACAAAAAGTAGATAGTTGGCCACTGTCACTTCTTCACGAATTATTACTAAGTCATCTTTGCTCACTCTGTTCCAACATGGTTTATTCTACTGAAGAAAGAATATAAATTGTTGCTACCTATTAGCGAAATAATAAATGTGCTAAAACTGCTGCAAACATTTATAATACGAATCATCCAGACTACAACGTGAGCCATCAATACTGTCGCAACTCAGTAGTCGCTTGCGAGAAGATTTTATTCGCTGTTTCACCCATTTATCATTCATCCAAATAATGAAAGAAATCATTTGAAAACTTGATTAAATATTTATTGTGAAGAAACGGAAAAAATACTTTAGGAATAAACTCACACTCAAATGTTAATAAAAAAAATACATTAAAACAGTAAAAACTTACATTATACTGCCATCCAACAGAATTGAAGAAAAAGAGATGTGCTGCATTGCTGATGATCAATAGATACTCAAATGAATTTCTGAATACTGTCTCCTTATAATCTTGACCTCCCTCAATATTTAGGAAGATTTATATGCTGACATTGCAACTTCGATCCACTGTACTAAGGTAAAATGCTCAGCATGCAATCTGTGCAAAGTTTGCATATTTGGAGATTGTTTTATATTTCTGTATCCTGTGATCGGATCAAGTTCGATGTCTATGAACTTGGAATATTAAAAGATGGAATTCTGAATACTGAGTGTGTTTGTGTTAAAATATTGAAGTTGATGTTGAAACATCTTTCAATTCATATATTTACTTAAATGAATTTGAATTATTTCACGATTATTTTCTATATTTGACAATACGTTAAACAGAAGACCTGCAACACAGAATTATTTGGGAATGCCGATTTCTGACTCCGGACACCATTGATGGCTCACGTTGTAGTCTGGATGATTCGTATTATAAATTTTTGCAGCAGTTTTAGCACATTCATTATTTCGCTAATAGGTAGCAACAATTTCTATTCTTTCTTCAGTACAATAAACCATGCTGGAACAGAGTGAGCAAAGATAACTGAATAATAATTCGTGAAGAAGTGACAGTGGCCAACTATCTACTTTTTGTTCTGCGACATTTCAAAACGTTCACTACTAATTAAATAAATTCTACAAATCAGAAAGACCTGCGACAGAGAATTGTTCGGGAATGCCGATTTCTGACTCCGGAAATCTTCAATAATGTAAGGAACGCTTTCGAAAGTAGACTGTATTATTGTATGGAACTAGATGGAGGTCATTTTGAACACTTTATACGTTGATTGTATTGCCATTGATATTACTTTTGTTGATTTCTTCAATAAAATGAGCGACAGCGAAATATCCGTTTTTTCTTGAATAAAACGTTTAACATTTAATTTCTCAATAACGAATGAACCAATTTCGAAAAAACTTACAGAAGTAATAGAGGGACAAAAGACCTTTCAAATGATGTATCACTTCACCCCCATGCCATTGAAAAAAATAGGGGGATAGATGCTGACAGCAGGGAGGTGAAGTTTCGGGTATGAAATCCTTATCAGAATTAGTCCCCCTAGAAATAAAAATTGACGTGTTCTTTGAAATTTTCGATTACACGTCTGTTTCTAACTTACAGAAGTGGGCAAGTTTTTGTTGGAACGCCCTGTATTATGTCGTAAACAATTCTATAATGATATCTGTTTAAATTTAATAACAAATGTTCGGGGTACAAACTGAATAGGAAAAAGTTATTTAGAGTGATTCAATGTTCATATGAAAGTAGTTGTATTGAAAAAACATTTTCTTCGAGTTTGTATCTGAAGGAAACTTCTGACAATGATCTACACATTTCAGAACAGTTTACTTCAAAGTAATTTTTTTCTTTATTCAGAATATTTATATTATAAATTGAATGTGGTTAACAATGTTTCTTCGTGAATGTTATGAGTTTTGGACTTCCATTCTCCAAAACGTGTTGATAAATGACTGAATTTAAAAAAACTAAGACCAAAATATTCAAATTAGTAAAAAAATACTGAAAATATTTCAGAAATATGAAAAGAAATGAACGAGTGTGAATGTTGATTTTTAATACACTAACCCGTTACTTGATGAAAATAAATAACACTATTCATGAATATTACTGGAGTTTTTTCCCAACACCTTGACACGTGTTTCGGTCATCTTCAAGAGGAAAATCTTCCTCTTGAAGATGATCACTTGGTGATCGAAACAGTAATATTCATTACTACACCGAAGGTTCCAAACAGCGCATCACTAGAACACTATGAAAATTATTACATACTAATACGTGTTTCACTACATAGTAGTGAAACACGTATTAGAAACACTACATAGTAGAAAGAAACAAATTATGGTGACCTGACCCTGACATGGAAATAACGAAATAGGTTAGAAAGCAGGTGTCATCAAAAAATTGTGAAATGACAATGATATACAAACAATAAAATAAAAAAAATATTGTGAGATGGAAAAGACTTTCTAAACCAGTTACTTTAGGATGGTCCACTTGTTAGTAATAACTTCTCATATTTTTGTAACTTCTCGTATTTTTTTTTCATTTTCTTTTTATAATTCAACTTAGTATCTTCAATTTTTCATCAACTATCTTCAATTTCAAATCTGTTGAATATTACTGGAGTTTTAGCTCAACACCAAACAGTTATTTTTAACACCTCGACATGTGTTTCAATCATAAGTTATTGAAACACTACTAACAATGGAGGTCTGAACATTCAACATTCATTTCTGTTGTCGTACAATTAGTAAAATGGTATCAATATTTTCGAGTAGTCAGTTTTTTTGTTTAATGCAAAAATTATAATTAATTTTACTATAATTTGTTATTTGTGACTTTCTCTCTTGGCAGATCTGCTCCGCAAATGTTAGAAAGAGGATTGAGGCTCAACAGATTGAATAATATTCGTTCATTCAAAAAAGTGAAAAGTTTAAAGAACCCTAATCCAGTTCGAAAAATCTGATAAGTTATTCATTAATTCAGTTTAGAATTGTATATTCGATCTAATATTTTTTTCTCCCTCCAATTTTCAACAGACATAAAACTACTAACCTTTAAATCATCATCAGAATCAAGAGAATCCTGGGAGTATTCCTCTTTCTTATCTCTTTCATCTTCGCTGCTACTTTCTGAGTCCTCACCATACATTCCCAATCCTAATTGTTAATGGTTCATAACAGTTAGAAACAAATTTATGGTAAATGATTCAAAAATTAAAATATACACTAGCGATTGGAAAAAAAAGTCATGATATGTGTTCTGGACTATCGAAATTGGTTGAGAAAATGAAAACAAAGCAAAATAATAAAAATACCGTATTATTGAAAGTTGCAATACGAAAAACACACAGTGAATACTGCTCAAAATGGAAAATTTGCCGAATTACAAGTACAGTATTTATGTTGAATTCCAAAATGATTGTATGAAGGTTATTTAAAACTCATAACAGTGAATAAATGACTGATTTCAAAAACTGATTCTAAAAAGTATATATGCTACCTCGGAGACATTCAAATCCATTATATAATACACACAAACAGTTTCTAACGATCTATAAAGCACAGGTTTGACCTGTTCTGGATTACTGCTCAATCGTAAGGGATTTACCTCTCAAACACCTTGACAAACTCGGGCAAATAAAACTAGATTCTCAACAAAGATGACTACTTCATTTGATGAGTGATCTTTTAGGTCAGCTGACAATAGTAAGATTCTGCCAAATGCTCAGAACCTAATTAGGTTCGTGGCACGGCAGGCATAGATGATGAGCTTATTTACCAAAGTCTGAAATTTACTTGTGACGAATAAAACACTTCTAAGGTTGACAGACCATGGTACATTTTCCTCAGCCCAGTAAGAACCTGGCTGCAGGGTACTACCTGCAGCCCCCAGCCAATAGACGCTTTCCTAAACCTCTCATGTGCAGCTCTGGAATCGTATCTGTGGACCACCTTCCGGAGTATAATAATAATCGTTCATTGCCAAACAAGATTGATACATTTATAGGACGTAAAAAAACAAGTACAAACATAAATGCCCTCAAACTGCTTCAATATTCTTCTGTTAGATCTAAATTGCACTATTATTGGAAAACCCTTCTATTTTTGTCATGAATATACTCTTCAAAAGGTTCAGACAATACTTTTATAGTTCATTAATTTCAAGACTCAACGAAGCTATCCGGTAAGAGGTTATGATCATGATAATCCTCTAAAAAATTCCCAATTTATATCAATGGAAAAAAGAAGAAGATGCGCTTCACTTATGTTTCAGTATAAACTACTGCACGACCAAATAGACTGCAGTATGCATTTATCATAGCCACATTTCAGGGTACCTTGCGACAAAGTCTCACTTTACTCTAGCACAGCAAGAACAAATTCATATCGAAGTCTCCAATAAAATCAAGGTGTTACATATACAATTCAATTTGGTTTCATTGTTACATCAATAATTCCTCACTTGATAACAAAGACAAATTAAGAAAAATATTCACTGGGGTTTCCTTCTCTGGTATCATATAATTTCTAATTATTTCCATTTCTTTTTTCTTTGAAAGCCCCTATTTGAACAATAGAATTTTTTGGAAGTAGCAGTAATAAAGTAATGCAAAAAGATAATATTCCTTTCTATCAAAATTAAGAATAGTGGTTCCGATAAAAAATGGTGTTTCAAATTAATGAGAAGCTTCAGTTATGTAATTTGACCAGGACATTTTGCTATTGAAATGCAATTTTAACAAATCAACAGAGGCAGTCTCTGCCACATTAACTTTCTCACAGAGAATTGATGCATAGATTTTCTTAGTATTAAATTCTATCTGATTACAATGGAATATTTTTTGTTCTTCTGAGAAAATGTATTATATATAGTCTATAGTCCTCGTGGTAATTATGGATTATTAATATCAAACAGTTCTTTGCTAATCTTTCTGACATTCCTGTTTTAATATTACGTTTGGCCATGCTACCAATAAAGGAAAGTTATAACGCACATTCACAAAAATATAATAAGTATTATTGTTAACATATCACACTAATTAAGTTCAACCAATGGAATAATATAAGTCTATGGATGGGATAGTACTATGTACACACACATACACACATCTCTCAAGTTGAAAGTAAACTGAAATATTTCAAGATATGAAATATTTTCATATTGCAACTTTAAAAAGGAGATGAATTTGAAAGAGACAGAAATACTTACCAAGTCTGCTGCTAATGTTGGCACCGCTGGGTGCTGAAGAACGCAGATCTGAAGCTGAAGTTTACAATAAATTTAACAAACGAACCCATAAATGCCCTGCTAACAGTCTTAGGAATAACTAATAACAAAATGATAATAAATGGGGACAAAATTAGCCCCTGATCAACGGTACCACATTTCAAAACAGATTTCAAGGTTTATACTCCCTAACCTAGAAACTACCATACCTTTGTACTTTTTTGTGAAACGTTGGAGTTCTTCCTTACATATAGCTTCTATTTGATGATTTGTTACATTCAGTAGAATTTCTGTCATGGTCCTACGCACCTTCAATATCTAAAATATTTATATTATCTCCAATTGACTGTATTGAATGATGATGATATCTACACTAAGTAATCAAATGAAAAATTTCTTATCCTTTCAAGAATTACAATTTTCATTAAGTCTTCTATTTATAAATGAAATGTCGAGTATAAATAAATTATTGATGAAAGGAATTGACTGAAATGCAGGTATTTATTAATTTATTATTGAAACAGACATACAAGGCTATATTATATGAAAAAAAAAAATTGAAAAATAAATTAACATTGATATATTTGTATGGCTCACAGTCTAATATCTAATACATGCTTAATTGAAGTTTGTTATGTACTGTATAACGAATTTTTTGAAAGCTCTCGAAGAAACTGTCCAATCAATATCCATCAATAAGTTGAATGTATTGGCTAGTTGTAACATGATTATAAGCGGTGACCTACCAGTAGTACAAACTAGGGGTATATTGAACATAAGAGAATTTCTCGTTCTTCTCGCAGGCACATTAGTCTATCATTATAAGTAACACCCAGGTCTTTCATTTCCCCAACGCTTTTTAACCCGTCTCCTTGCATCATGTAATCAAATGTTATCAGCTCTTTTAACTTTATTATTCTCATAGCACAAAATTTTTTCAGTTTATTTTCACAACTTTACTCGCAAACATATTGCAAGTCCTTCTGCAACATAACACTATCTCTGACAGTTTCAATTAAAAAAAAATATTTAGATCATTTGCGAATAATAAACAGCTTGAGTACTTGAGAACTGAGGGCAAGTCATTGATGAACATAACAAAGAGCAAGGGTCGTAAATTGGAACCCTGTGGTATTTCAGAACTAGCTTCATATTTCCCCAAAGTATTTCCATTTTGTTCAACTACTAAAAGAGAACTTCCGAAAAATTTTGAGTGTGCTATCAGGGAGTTCAAACTAACTCAACTTTGTTTATACTACATCTTGATCAACTTTGTCGAAAGCTTTTTTAAGATGGGTAAATATTAAAACGAGTTGTGACTCATTCTTCAAGTGTTTCATACCTTGTACAAACAAAGCTGATTAAATTTGTATTATCAGATTTTTTAGAAACAAAGCCATGTTGCTGAGGCATTATACTATTCTCAACATAGCCATACAATCTCGAATATATAATTTGTTCAAATAAATTAAAAGGTGCCGGCATAATTGATACAGGCATGAAATTTTCAATGTTCATCTTGTCACCTGATTTGAAAATGATAGTAACTTCTATTCCAGCTGCCTTCTTAGGTTTCAAATTTTTTACTGCTTCTTCATATTCAGACTGTGGGACTGATTGCATGTTGAACGTTATCATTTGTTACTGGAATATCACTCACACAGTCAGAGTATGATTGATACTATGACTTTCTCTTTGAGTAAATAGACTAAACAAGAAATTATTGCACAAAGTTCGCACAAATACACATGTTACTCCTTCAGAGTAACAGAGTACTGGTTAAGTTCATTAGAAACTTCTATTATCGCAAAGCACCCAGATGCTTGGTTTTTACATTTTCAAAGCATGTTCATTAAATTTGTTATATATGAATTATATACAAAAAGTGGCATCTCAAAAATACAACTAGTTAATGCTGGTGTCACCTGGTGATACCCAGGGAGTTACCATTGCAAAGGCTTAGGCAGCGAGAAGTTGCTTTCAAGCTAACACTTTCTCTGCTGGGCCACCTGTTTCCATTTTAGATGTTAGGTCAGAATTCTTTGAAAGGATAATTTTGACTTGGATCTTTGCGGATGGGGGATTCAAAACATCCCTGACTTAGACATAACTTAGTTGTTTCTATCTTTATTCAAAGACTAGACATTTGTTTCAACTTTGATGATTTGTCAACGTGTGCTTCTGAAATCATTAAGGTAAGGACTATCAAGTGTGGATGCTTTTATCAGTTTTTCAATAATAAACCATGGCCCGACAAAAATTGGGCACCATTAAATAAACAGATGGTTCAACAACGAAGAAAATTTATTGCTGAACAATTTATATCTCACTCTAGACTTGATTTTCAGGGAAAAATATCACCCACTCCTCCACTCCCTATAGAATCCACAATGGCGGATATTACTTTTTATCAAATTATTAAACAAATTCTGAAACAACTCAACATCAACAAAGCTTTCAATAATGATGAAATATCTGATAAAATACTTAAAAAATGCCCCAAATGTATCCATTTTGAAAACCGAGTGTTTCTTGTTGTAGGAAGACCCCTTGAGTTTAGTCCAATTTCGAAAAAGGAAGTTTTCATATTACCTTTGTCAGTTATTTCAAAACTTCCAGAAGCATGAAGAAGTCCAGATTCATTTAGAGTGGTTATTCACTAAAATATGTAGGACAACATTAGACATTTTAGATCCTATAAATCAGATATGACAAGTATTATTTCAGGACATAATACAGACAAACTCATGTGCCTTAGGATGAAAAACAATCACTTATGAGAATTACCCTCTGTTGAGCATAACCATCTGACCACACTCATTTGAAATATTCATAGGTTCTTCATTTGTTTTTTCACTCATTATGTTATCGAACGAGGGCATACAGAACATGACACAAAACCTTATGTACCAGTATAAGATGAGTAAATTTTAATCTACATCTGATGCCAGGCTCAGTTGACTAAACACACATGTCTTACATGAAGATCATATACTTTGTCTCGTTGTCAATGTTATTTTCATAATGATTTAAAAAAATCTGTTCAGATTGACTATATTGAGAACTATCTAAAATTCATCATGATTTTTTTTAAAATGTTTATCAATTTTCTTAAGAAATTTAATGGACTGATATAGTAAAAAATAAGTGCATAAATTTGAAACGTAAATTCTATTGTATTTTCAAATCGAATCTTGAGAGTATTTGAAAAATATTTACCAATTCTTCTGACGTTAAGGGCACTGGATCGGGACTTGCCTCTTTTTTATGAACCTTGCTTTCCTCCTCTGAATTTTCTCCATCACTATCCTGCATATTAATATTCAAAATCACACTTCAATGTTTCAGGTGATTCACCACTATACTTACGAATCGGCTTCTTTGGCGTTCTTTCATAGTACTTTTCAAAATTTCAATAGTTTCTTTATTGTTTTGTCTATTTTTTTCCATAAATTCTTCCCTTTCTTGCTTCTGTTTTTCTTTCTCCATTTGCTTCAACTTATCTTTCTCCATTTTCTCCAAACCTTATAATGAAATTAAATCAACATAATATGGATTTTAAGAATGTTATTTGCATTGAAGATATATATTTGAGGAACATATGACAGAAATAATGTATTTTTGTATTGTTTTTTTTTTGTATTATCAAAAAAGCTGATTTATTGTTATTATTGTTATTTCATTTTTTTATGAAGCAGGGTAAGCTCCACCCCTCCCTACCTGATTCAAGCAATAGAGAAGGTGGTTTTTGGAATTAATTCGATGTTTTATTTCGAGCTGTGCTTGCAAACAAATGCTTTCTGCGAAGGCAGTGACGATTTATTCACTTTTAAAGAAAATATATCTTAAGTGACGTTACTTTACCTTCTCTAATCCAAGCCGGTAATTGTTTTCTTTTGGCAGCATCCAAAGAAGGAGTGGGTGGAGTGGAAGGTGCCGTTTCCTGTGGAGGTATATTTGAGGGCAACGGAACTGTAGCACGTACGGGAACATTGACTTTGCTGTATCGTTTATTATGTGGTTTTATGTGTTTGTGACTACTGCTGGAACCACTCCAAAAAGTTGAATTATTATATTCTTTGTTAGATCCTGAGTGATATCTGTAAGGAATAATAACAGAGATTTTTCATTTCATTTTTATTGTCATATGATGTTCTCAAAAATATAACTATTGATCCTAATTTGATAATATGTATATTACATTATGTACTTTGGACATCAGAGAAAGAAAGTCAAAAATGAACAGTGTTTAATCAAATCTAATGATAACTTTTTGAAATGTCCATACATTTTTTTTGTAATTAAAGAAATTTGATTGAATATAGTGCAAAGTACATTTTCTCCAATAGACATTAAACATCAAATTCAGGGATATTTATCGAGCATATAATGGACATTTCTAATGGACATTAAAAATGATTTTTCAATGCCTAGGCGTTGAAAATGACTTTTTCACTTTTTTGAAATCTTGCTCTGCACAAGAAACCGTCCATGAAAATACTTTAATAAATTAACTATAAAACAAAGTTACTGTAATTATATTTCTATGAAAAATATATTCANTGACTCACACGAGTGCATTTGGTGAAATCCCGATTGATTGTTGATTAAAATGTCGTTTTTTTTCAACATATTCAATTAGTTGATTATAAATTGCTGTTTCTAGTTCCTTCTCCATTGGTGGTAAAGTGTTGATTGGTCTGAATTCTTTAGCTTTAATATTATGAGGAATTTTGGGTATCGGAACAATAGTACTAGTTTTCAATCTATCAGGTATTTGGCCAGTTTCAAGAGAGGTGTTGATAAGGTGCAATATAACCTGACGAAAATCTCAAAAACTTGTTTCAATATTTTGGAGTTGGGGATTTCATGTACACTGCACTTATTATCCAAGGAAATTATAATTTTACGTAGGTCAGTTAACAAAAGCAATCTGAATTCAGAGAAAGTGTAGTATAAATTATAGTTTTTATTGCACCATGATTCTGTATACTCAATACTCTCCACTATTTCATTTATGCTTTCAACTAAATAACTGTTGAAGTTATCTGATATTTCAAAATCATCTCTCAGTAATATAAGTTCGCCAGTTTTCTCAAACTGTATACAATTTGGAAAGTCAATGTCATCTCCTTTAACTAGTTTTTTGAGAATTTTCCACATATGTTTAGAGTTGTTTCTATACCGATCAATTCTTTCAAAATAATATTGATTTTTTCTTTTCAACGCATTGACAACATCGTTTCTCAATTTCTTGAACGTTTCCCATTTATTTTGTTTCTCTACATCTGAATAGTTTCTGAATGCTCTGTAACCCCTATCACGATTCTTAATTTTACAGTGAACTTCGTTATCAAACCATGGCAAATGACAGTTAATACTACAATTTTGTATTGGAGAAATATTATCAATAACTGCTTCACAATTATTCAGTAGTTCTTCATAAATAATTTCTACGTCCGTAGAATTTGATGACCATTCACATGATATTGAGTTCATTTTTATAAAGTCCAAATTACTTTCACTAATGTTCTTATAATTTTTTATCGCTTGATTTTTTTATTATAAATATCGGTGAAGTTAACAAAGATTGTTGAATGGTCTGTTATTATTGGATATAAGTATACCTAAGCTTGACATCTATTCTCCTTCGTTAAGACATAATATATAAGCGATTCGCTGTGGTTAATAACTCTAGTTGGTTCATTGATTATTTGCGAAATGCCAATGTGTTGAGGAGGTTTTTCAATCTAGAATCAAAAAACTATCATCAGAGTAGTTTAGATTGAAGTCGCCCACTAAAATACAATGAAGATTTGTCGAAAATAAGCTATCACAGTTATCTTCAAAGTCCTCTAAGAATTTTGCATCAGATCCTGAGGGTGAGTGATAAAGACAACCAACTAAAATAGGGCATTTGAGTTTGATCTTCAAAATGTTGCACCAATAATTAGCTTCTAATACATATGTTTTATAGGCAGAGTATACTTTGATAGGACGGGTTCTGTTTGCCGCTCAAGCATTTCATAAATCACTTCTTCTTTATCTATTTCACCAACGTTATTCTGAAGCATTGGTGGCTTAGCCATTTTCATTTCTTCAACTTCCTTTCTAAGGTCGGAAATAGCTTTAATGAGAGCTGGAACTTGATGAAGACCAGATTTGAATTCTTCACAAAGAAACTGTAGTGATCTCCTTTTCAAATGCATACATTTCAATTCGCTGGGGCATAATTCCGAGCAAGCTGAGTTGATATGAGAGGGTCTCCTACATGAGTCACATTCAAAAAATGATTCATTTTCCTCAAAAACCACTTTGCATTTGAAACATCTGTTTGCCATGTTCAAAGTAAAAAGTCAAAGAAATTACCCAAAGAAAAAACTACGGATAAAATACAGACAAATAGCTGATACACAGATAAGGATAAGTCAAACAGGTGTTTTTTGTTTTCTATTACATGACTCTCAAAACTTGCAATCTTTAGAGCGTTATTATTCACTATTCACGTAGATTGTTGTATTTATATGTAGCGCAGTTACACAGAGCACTTCACTAAATTCACTTTGATACCAGTTTCAACTTAATTAGATTCATATGAACTAGGTAAAAGTGCTGTTATTGTGGAGCTAAACATTCAGCAGCTAACCTATCTGTGTCTGAATAATTATTGCAAAATACTCACGTTGAATCAATATTAGTTGAAGAAAGTCAATAAAACAATAAATTGAGCTCTAAAGACCCTAAGGAATATAATCGTTCATAAAATTTTCTGAACTCCACAACATTTTTATAATATAAATAATAAATAAATGAATAAAAAAAAAATAAAAAAACAACTCACAGAAAATTGGCGTTAAGAGGCAATAGTAGCTTAAAATGAGCCTAACGTATTAAAAAGACACTTTATTGTGAGATTTTCACTAAACAGTTTTACAAAAACGCAACATGTGTTTCGCCATACAATGGTTTCTTCGGGTATGTCTTTACAGACACTAACACGCCCGAAGAAGCCATTATATGACGAAACACGTTGCGTGTTTGTAAAATTGTTCAGTGAAAATCTCACAATAAAGTGTTTTTTGAATACGTTAGTCATGGATTCTCATCAAGTATCGGCCAATTCCATCATATATTTTAAAATTAGCCTAAAATCATGACATAGCTCAAGGTTAAGCTAGCAGAACCACATTATATCTCCGTTGATGAATGAAGAGCATACAATTCTGGTATATAGTACAAAATTAGCTTAAATTTATAACCTAGAAATGAATATAAATGGTTCTGCTAGCTTAACAGCTATAAATTTTAGCAGAACACGTTCTAACCATTACACAATACAGTTATGTAGGTTTTCAAATATCACATCTCATTTAAAAAAAAAACAAGGAATTCTTCTAAAATGCATCCTAACGGCCATATGCAATATAATATTTAGAGAAAATTTTCATAGGTTGCTGAATCCCACGATATCTTCTCACCACAAGAAAAATAATTTCAAGGAAAATTATAATTTGAACAGGACTCCTAACAGCCTTAAGCAACATAAGCTTTGAATCAAATTTCAAAAGCAGGTAGAGAAATTAACCTTTGAAGTGAAAGTTATCTAATATATAAAAATTGATGTTTGTTGGTTGGTTGGTAAGTGATAAACTTCTACATCGCCCAACCGATCGTGATGAAACTTAACGTGTATAAGTAATTTTTCATAGAGAAGGTTTTAGGGATATCAATTTTTTTGTAACTCGCTACAAGATGGCGCTGTAGAACAATTTTTTGAAAGCACTGTTCTATAACGCTGCGCACACCTAAGTTCGTTGTTTCTGATTCTGTCAAAACATTGGAACAGCAGCGATACATCAACATAGTACTAGTATACTTAAAAATATGTCCAGTCTGCAACATATATTTTGATGAAATATTCAGAAAATAAGCTTTATGCTGACTGTTATATAGTAAAAATAGTAAATTTCATTAATAAAGTACATACGAAGCCATTATTAGGCATTGTTTTTTTGTTTGGCGAACTGAATTGGAAGTGAATTCCATATACTACAATGTTCAAATATTTGTGTAGAGATCTTATCGTAGTTAGTTTTTTCTTTCCTTTTTTAGAAGATTTCCCACATTATTTGTTCAATGATGGAGTTTTCAATATCATATTCCTATTATCACATAAAATGTGGTTATGGGAAAGCTATTAGACTAACACTGCGTTAAGCATGTCATGCACATCAAAATTGCCCCATAGACCATAAAATTCAAATTAATATCTTGGGAGTTATTGAAGGGATTGTTATTCATGTCGAAATGAAACTATTTCCTAAATTTGCTAAGGATATAAAGTAAATTAATTCTCGAGAGAACCTCCTTAACTGCAGGACAAATCCACCTTTCAATAGAAGAAGATACAAATTTTGACTTTTTCTACTCACCCGCCAAATGGTACAGCATTATCACTACTACTCTCAGGCGGTGCACTGTAGGCATTGTTTGGAGTTGGTAATAAAGGGGGCTTGATGGAAGTAATACTGGGTGGAGGGGGTACAGCACTTGGTGGTATCCAAGCATTATTCCAGTTCCAGTTTTGGGTTTGAGAATTCCAGTTCCATGGTTCAGCCCCCGGAGGGGGCGGTGGTTCACTGGGGCTCCAAACGGGAGCGGGTGGAGCTTCTCTCTCATTCTCAACTTCCATATCTGCCTCTCCGCCGCCGTGGCGTTCCTTAACCTTCTTATTTACTACAGGTGGCTGTTCTCCTGGTATCGGCGGGGGCCCTGCTTCTTTCATAATTATCCACTGTTGTGCTAAAGCCGCCCAGTCCACTTGCTCATTGGGCATGTTTTGGTAAGAAGCCGGATTAAGGGCCCATTGGGGATACTTTTGAGATTCGTTGGAATCGCTACCTGAATACATATTGCTCACTTTCTTTACGTTTCACTGAATCAGCTACACTGTATTAATATCTTTTGCGAACAAGTTCCATTTCAAATTGAATTCAAAGATATAAAGCATCAGGGCTCTGAAAACATAGTATAACAAATTGACAAGTAAAAGAATGAACTGACAAATGACTTTTCTGTCCAGTGTTGCCAATGTGTCATTGACGATTTCTATATTACTGTCTTACGAAAGATATTTTACCTTTTAGTGTTTTTTCTTCAGTTCAAGTAGCGAAAACATTGATTAGTTAAAAGTGAGTGTATTTCGTAAATGCACAATGCAGAATTCACTGCATTGCGTACTTTGCTTTCTGCCAAGAGCACTTGGACCTTTTGCGAAAACTGTTCGCTTGATGAGTTATTGATGCTTGGTTGGATGTGAAATCAATTTTGTTAATTCCTAACTAAAAAAACCATTAAGGATTTTCAATACCAGGATTTTATATTGAATCAACGTAATTACTATCCACTGTGACCAATATGTTCCGTGTTTACGTAGGTTCTAAATTTCTAAATATTAAATAAATACGTGGTACGGTTATTCAAATTTGATAAGACAAATTGCAAACTGAGATAGCTGATTTGGTCAAATGCACCTGTAAGGAAGCAACGACCATAACCAGAAGAAGAAGAGATGGCTGATTCCTACACCAAACTTTATCTTTTACTGTATGTTTTACTTTAAGAAAGTTATCATAATGGAAATCAATGGGAGCATTCATACATCACGCTTTAATTTCTTTTTACTTCAACGAAAGTTTCCGGACGGTACGTTTTCATTAAGAATTCCTTGAGGGTATTCTCTCTACCAGTTACTCTACTGCAATGGCGAGAGATATCTCCACAAGTTTCAACAGATATTCTTTACTGACCAAAATAAAGACCGTCTTATTTTCGATGATGCGAATTATTCAAATAAATATCACTTCGAAATATACTCGAATATATTTCTACTCCGAAAGTAATATTGTATTTGCCTTTTTAATTGAACTTTTTGTAATAAAGCATGATAATTAATATGAGAAAGGTTTATTATTTAACAAAATCGCACAGACAGTGTAATACGTCTCTTCGAATGATTTGAATGGAATGCCATACATTTTCAATTCAGTTACGGTAAAATCAAATATTAAATAGAAGTTTGTTCAAAATTAATTTTTCATTCAGAGGGGTGGAATAATTTATTATCTATATCGTTACTTTTCAAACTTCACGAATAATGGAAAATTTCAAAACATTTGCATTTTGTGTGAATTGATCGATCTGTAAAAACTCGGGGCGGTGGTACCTACTAGGTACCTTGCGAGTTTTTATCGAAAGAAAACGTTGCCGAATACCGTCGAGATATAACAAAAATAATAGAAAAAAATGAATTCAAGCTGATGCGATAAGGTGGTATTTTTTTATTTGTGTTGTTTTCAGGTACCTATCTATATCAAAATTAAAAGTGATAGTTGGAAACATACTTTTATTTGAGTGAATTTTATCCAGGTTCATTGTTATTATTCACTAGCCGGGTTATTCGTCTTCGCTCAGGTAGTTGATATGAGAATGTGTGGTAATTGGAACATTGGATTATGAGAGGTCGATGAATCTTGCTTTATATACTCCTACCAAAGGAATGTTCTCTAATACTCTAGAATATTGGTTTGTTGGACTGGAGAAATTTCTAGAGTGCAAAATTTCCAGCCATGATATCTTCAAAAGCATGCATTTCAGATAAAAATAGAAACATTTTTGTTGGATGGGAGATGAACTTTCTTGATCGTTTCACAATGATCTGTAATGTTCCAGGACGTTCCGGAACGTCACAAGCTATTTTCAAACACTCAAGAATGAATATAACTTAACTCTCGAATGCTCTGGACGGTTTCAGCACGTTCATCTTGGAAAAAACCCCACAATCCTCATTAACAACCTGATGTGACACTATGACTGAAAAAATATATGCATACATGTTTTGCTACCCGGATCGCTAGCATTTTGTATTCAAATTGTGATATCTCCGCGTAATTTAGTGAAAGTCTAAATAATTTAAGGGAGAATCCGTTTACCTAACGCTAGTTGCACACACACCGATTTTGGACGGCCGACTTTGTACCGGTCGTCCAAATTCCAATAGTGAACCACATGTGGGAACGGGACCTAATACTTCCAGGTCTTTGAATGCGTTTCTGCAAGATGTTCGAGAGCTCAAACCCAACATTGAACTAATAATACGTTTTTGTGCTTCAAAACACAAGACGATGAAGTTGATGTTTCTCAAAAGGCCACATCACTTTCTACCTGTGCATAATAGAGCTCGAAGAACTAATCAGGATTCAAAATGTCTTTTATATTTCCAAATTGATAGGCAACTATGTGAAGTTTGAAAACAAGATCTTCGCAGTGAAGCTTACAATTGAGATGGTTATCGACATTCAATCCCAGAAACTTCGTTCTTGTGGCATTAGTGGAGATCATAGGAGAACCAAACGAGATATATTCACAGGT